TAACATGCTGTATTTGCCTTGTCATATACTACATTTCTATCACTGCCCCCTAGATTTTTGACTATTCTGTTTTCTACCTATTTATATAAAACTGATTGATATTAAGCATTTTTAGTATTGATCTAAAGAATTCCCTTATTACCAAAGGAATGACGAGTTGCCTTATTTTATAAGTCATTTAATCAGTTTTATAGAATTTAAAATATTGAACATTTAATAATGAATTATTTGATGAATTATTTATTGATCCTTAATCTAGTAGGTACACTTTCAAAAAGACATAGGAGAGTTCTTGTTCAAAATCAAAAAATAAACCATGATAAGAAATATTATAATAATATTTAATAGAGCTTTCTTACATCATTTTCAAAAGCTTCTAAATCCTTCTTAGCAATATCAATCATTGCTTTTTAGTTAATGTCTCATCCACTAATAATTCTTAACTGATCTCCATTGTCTTTAGTAAATGAATCGAATTCTTTTAGGTTTTTAGGTTTAGCCAAAAGGTAAGAATTTAATATCATGCCTTTAGTTTTTTTCTCCTCCTTACGTGTTTTTGTTTTTTTTTCTGTTTTTCTTAGGTCAACCATTACTTTCTTCCATTTTCTTTTCTTCAAAAGAATTTAAAACAAATTAGGTTCCATAGAACTTTTCTTTCAATTATTATTCTTAATTGATATGATGATAGCACTGGTGTTACTTAAATTTAAAACTCTTATGTCAAATCTAGAACCATCCAAAAAAAAAAAAAATTGAAAAATATTTGTACCTCTACCCAACCCCTCTTACCCAAATTTTGTACATTAAAGTAAAAGCTTAGCTTGAATAAATAATAAAAAAATAATTCATCTTCGTAACAGAATCTTTTATATCTATGTTAACTTAAATATTGCAGGTATAAGCTAGGCTGAATTCAAGGTTTGATTAAAATCACAATCCTGAAATACTAAAATATTTATAAAGAGAAGAGAGTCATAGTATAAGAAAGATACAAACAGAATGACGTATGGGAGATGCCAAGTAAGGAAATCTTTCTCTCTTTTTTCAAATTTGTCTTTCATTTACCTGTTTATTTTGCTGTTCAAACTTTTTTGAATTTATGGCGATAGTGAGTATCTAGAGGATGAATCTTGATAACTAAGGCTTATTCAAAATATCCTAGAAGACCAGAATTTATAAAGTGGGTAAATCATAGTAATGTGAGGGAAATGGAGCAAAAGGAATCAATTTTTTTAAAGAAATTGAAATATCTGGATAGAAATCCATTTTAAGTTTTCAAATTTGTGTATTTGGAATAAACATATATATATTGAAAGCTTTTATTATTGATAGCTGTGATTATATTGGAACACAAAGAAATCTAAAAGCGAATTACTTAAATATTGATATATATTTTGATCAAGTAGAAAAAGGATTACTCTAAATAATTTACAATTAAGTAGATGGCTCTTGAGACTATTGAATTAAAGGCTTTTGAAAACGGGAAATTATAGGCAGTTATAAGGCTAATAGTGAGTTTTGCACTAAAATTAATTGGTTAAAAGCAAAAAATGAAAAGTTTAAATATTATAACTTTAGCTTTTATGGATATTTTTCTTAAATGAATAATTTTACATTTGAACTCAAAAAACACTTTAATACCTAATTAATAATGAATTAATATTCTCTTTCATCAAATCCTGTAGTCTGTTTTTTATTTCTTACTTCCTATCCCTTATTTTCTATTTTTTTCAATTTCAAATTCAACCTTTATTCCTAGATTTCTTGGATATTGATTAATAAATAAATGATTTACAAAAAGAAGAGAAAAAGATGTTTTTATGAATTTTCATTTTTTAGTTGTTAAATGAGAAATGATTAATATTATAATATAAAATGGAGATCATGTGGAACCATAATTTTCCAAAAAAGCTAAAACTTTAAAGTCCTCAGGCAAATCTTTTGATGCGAGAGACATTAATTTTATAAAAAAAAATTGTATTATTAACTGCAAACTGAATATATTTCTTCTTTGAAAGACATTAATTTCATCTTATATTATTATTTTCCTTTTTCACTACTTCATTGAATTTTTTATAAAATAAAGATTTTTTTCATTATTATATTTTTAACAAGTGAAATGAAGAAAAAGATATTGTGTCTTTTTACTCACAATTTATTTAATAGCTCAAACACTAATATATCTATATTAAGGTCAGTTTGTGATTGAGTTTCTAATAATAGTTTTAATATTTTATTTAAAATGGTTTTAAATCAAAAAAATTGCTGATTCCTGCTTCAAAACTATTTTTTTAAGAATTTGATCTAACTATAAAACATATTCAACACATCAATTTTTTAAGAAATGCTAAAATGAGATGGTAAAATAAAGAAGTATAATCCTTGTATTTATTTACCTTTACTAAAAACTTGAATAAATTAGTTTATATAATTAATGAATATCGTTGCCTAATTATTAAGCTGTATAACGCGAAAATTAAAATACATAACAAAAATATTTTATAAATAATAATTGAATAGCCTTCAAATAGATAAGTATTTAAAGTTCTGTATTCATTCTGAAAAATAATTATTTTAAAGAATTTAAAGATAAACTGGATGTGGTTTTCGTTTTTATATGTTCTTTATTTATTTATGATAGAGTAACAATTATTCTAAATATATAATTATGAAATAAGTTCTACTCTAAATGGTTGAAGTCTGCTTATCATGTTGTGTAATTGAATTTGATTCTATCTTTAAGCTAAGGAGCTAATATAGAATTAAGAAATCGCTAAAAAATCATAAATTTGGCTCATAAAGCTTTTATTCTATACTATGTTTTTATCGAAAAATGGCTTCAAGTATATGACCTGGGGTATATATATATGGTTGGAATTTTCTCGTTTCATAATCCAAATCAATCAGTATAGAATAGCCATAATGATAAAATATATTATTAGGTTTTACATTCTATTTTTACTCTCTCCAATTCCAACTCAATTAAAACTTAGTATATAAGTTTTAAATAGATACCCAATCGTTTAAATTGGATTGAAGATACTAATTTCTTGGTTTGTTAAACTAAAAGTCTTGACTATTAAAGTTATTAGCCATTAATAGTTTTAGTTTGAAAAGTAAGTAATAAGTCTACTTTAAGGAAAAAGCGAATGGGTAAGTATATACAATCTTTCACCGATTGGTGAATGTTCTCCTTCTTACATGGGATACTGGAAACAAAAAAATAGTAGAGTATTCATTTTCAACACTTAACTGGGATTGTGGATTTCATAGATTTAGTACTTTATTACATCACCATTCATCATCATTTATTCTAGTCGTCTCCTCCTTAATATCAATCTCAATATCTTTTCTAAAATGTTCTCCAAACTTAATATATTGCGAGGGATCAAATGCTTAATGTATTAATATTGGCAGGCGCACACTACATTTTGGTATACGACAATTGATACAGAAGGATGGAAAATAGACAACAATGTTGAAATGTAAACAAGCTATGTTATTCAATTAAATTAGCAGGAGGTTAGAATTTATAAGCAAATTCAACTTTAGAGAGAATTTTAAAAAATATTTCTCCTCACTTTTCCATTGATATAAAATTAAAGTTATGGAAGATTTTCAAAAACTGATGTGAATTATATTTTAAATCTCGATGAAAACTAATATAATTTAAACCATAAACTTAATGGTCAATAAATTGGAATATAAAGTATTGAAATATAAATGAAACATTCGTCTAATGATTTGAAATTATATTTATAAAGTATCTCTAAAAATCAGCATACTTGAGCATTGAATACTTTTAATTTCCTAATTGCTTAATGTATAATTTACTGTGAGAAATGTTTTGGACTATTGTGATTAAGTATAACTTTGATAACAGCTTTAAAAGAATACTGGATCTCTTCTTTTTTGAAAACAGTTAGTTAAATTGTAAATTTGATATTTAGGCAATTGCCTTTAAAATACATCCACCCCTTAATGCAAACAGCACATTCTTAAATTGATGCACATATACCCATAACTGTAATCAAAATTTAAATTTAAAAACTTATTATATTACTTATTCGTTAGAAATAGATTCTCATTTATAATTGATAGTAGATTTATAAGACAATTTTTGTGAAATTTATTATTAAAAAGAATTAATTTTTAGAATAATTAATTATAATATCAACTTATGGTGAAGTGACTGAGTTTTTAATTTTTAAAATAACAAAAAATATCTAATGATGTTAATTAAAAATAACTGAATATATACTATCTTTAAATTAATAAAGAATACTTTTAAATCTATATTTTTTTATGTTTTGACACACCCATATTTCTTGTTTACAAATCAACTGAAAAAATATGTTAAAAAAGTTTAATTATTCTTACTAAATACTTACCTCCATAAAAAAGGAAAGCTATGAATTTGTTAAATATCAAAAATATATTCATGCTGATTAAAGAGTTTAAATTTGGATCAATTTTTTAATTATTTTGATATATGGATTCTCGCCTTTTTGAGGAAATTATTTCAGCAGTCCTATAAATATGTATAATCTAATCATGTTATTGTATGTGTTATTGTTGACAAAAACAAAATTTTTCGAATAAAATTTCATCTTTATATCTATTATTTATTCCATCAATTATTTTTTTCTAGTAACTTATTTTTAATAAAAAAATACAGATTAAAAAGATTACTTGAATTATTTTTTTTTGCGATATTGCCATGGACTCTGTAATATAACATTGCTGGATATTTAAAATTTATCTTCATCCTTAATGTTTATTTGAACTCAAGCCTATTAATTTTTTGGAAAGTATGTTTATCATTGATTAATACAAAAAAATAGATATTAAAAGTCCTGTATTAATTCAATTTAAACTCTCGAATTCCTATTTAAGAATTATTCTACAATCTACACAGGATTATTTTTATTATCTTAAATTGTGAACTATGGCTGTCTTTTCTTCATTTTCTGTCTTTTGTCGGCATTAGTTTAGGATTAAGTGACTTTTCTATTAAAAAAAAACAGAAATTGAATCAGTAATTCTCTAAATTGTTTGATTAAAATGTTAAAATTATTCAGCTATGAAAATGTCATTCAGATTAAAAATTTTTCTAAATTATAGTTTCCTAACGAGTAAAAATACTTTTTACCCAAAATATGTCTTAATTATTAGTAATATTTATCAAAATTAATTCTAAAATCATTTTTAATGCAAATAGTTATAGTAAATTTATCAGTGCCTATTCATCATCAATAGATACTAATATTAACATTTATTAATAGTCAAATAATTCTAATATATCAAAAAATATATAAAAGCTTTCATTGTTCTGAATGTAAAATTACATAAAAAAAAATTTTAAATATTATTCCTTAAGAAAAAGTTAATATTTTGTGTATAATATTGAAGGTAAAAATTATTAAAACAAAAAATTTAACAAATTCATTAAAGTAGATATCAAGACAATAATTTATTTCATATTTTCTTTTATCTAAATATGTTTAATTACTTCATTTTTCTTACTTAAAGTTTACTAGATGTTCCTTCACAACTAAATAAATACTCACCACTAATGCCAAATTTGCAATAAAATTAATCAGTCGGAAAATCTTTGAATTTTTTAAGTTATTATAAAACTTCTTATGTAATTTTAGATAGATAAATTAATAAAATAATCTTTTTTTTAAGAAGAAAAATTTTTATTTTATGAATTATAACTACTTATAATCTTTTCCTCACATACTATACTAGCAAGAAATTCTTTTTTTCTTTAGAATTATTAATTCTTATGATAAAATTTGAAAAGATATAGTAATTCACTACCTTCTTTTATAGCTTATTATAAGATTATCATTTTAATTAATTATCAGGTAAATGATAGCAGCCGTATGCCCTTTTAAAACTGTATGGATTTTCCATCCCTTGCTCATAAATTATTCAAACATTTTTATTTATAAATCTGTTTCTCTAAATCAAAGCTTATCGTTTATTATATACTTTAAAGACCAAATTTTTTAATTATCACATTTAATTCATAAACTTTAATATAATTAATAACCAGCAGCTAATAATGTTAAATCATAATTTAAAAGATTACATTTGTGCTAAATCCTTATCCTCAATTTAATTTATTTACTAATAATTAATGCTTAATTTCTTTATCTTAATTGTTAAGGTTGCAAATTATTCTTCAGAATAAAATGAGCTGCTTAAAATAGCTTAAAATTATTTCACAAAACATCAATTTTTCGTTTGATCTATATTCTAACTTCTCTTTTTCATAATCACCATACAACCTATTTAAGTGATGAATTCTGCTAAACATCTCTTAACATCATTATTTTTTTCAAATATTCAAAACACTCTCTTTATCAGTAGATTCTGTGAGAGTTTTGATACATAAAACAATTATAGGGTTCTAATTAATCAGAACCATCCTTATCTATGAATTGAAATCTCTTTTAAAACCTTTTTAATTTTATTGAGATTATTAATATAAATGATCCTTATGTATAAAATTATTTGTTTAAATCCCTAATTCTCTCGATGTTAAGATATTTAGGGATTATAAACCGAAAATTATGTATTGTGATTTGAGATCACTAATTATTATTGGAGTGGGGATTAGAATACTTTAAGAGCATCATAAATTATCACACTTGCTGAGAGAAAATCAGATATTTATCAGGTTAAACTAATAATGAAAATTTGATAAATTAAAGCAATCTTTTTCCATAAATCTTTTCAGAATATTTCAAGATTAAATTATATCTAAAAATTTCATTATTACTTTAAAATATAAATTTATTTAAGCTTACATAAATAATAAATTATCTGTAGAAATTGAAAAAAAAAATCAAGTTTGCTAAAAGTTTTTATTCATTTCCTATTAAAAAATTATAATACTTTAGAGAACATTATCCAGCTTATCTATTAAGAATTAAAGTTAAGTCTAAATTAATTGATGAAAATTAAATATCATCAATAATTTTAGTGGATATGTGAAGTATTTAAAATAAGGGATAATATATTCTGAAATTATATTAACTGATCTATTTGTTTAATTCTAAAATAATGTAAAGTTTGAATATAAAGTATTACTTTAATTTTAGATTTACTATAATTATTTGTTTAGATTAACTTAATTTTGTTAATTATATACTATTTATTACTGAATTTAAAGTATTTTATAAGTAAATTATGGATAACTTTTTGAATTGTTAAAGAATTAATTGTAAAAATTTCTCTGTTAATTAAAATTTTTAGACTCTCAAGTTAGTAAAAAGTATCATTGAATTTAAATATTTGAATAGGGGTATAGATGATAAGCGTTTAAATGCCTAAATACATTTAATTGGCCATGTTAGTTCTAACTTATAATATAGGCTCATATGATATGTTTATCTACATTATAGAATTTCGGTAAATTTTACACATTCCAAATAGATTCTGTTGATTATTACAAACAGACAATTATATCATTTAATAACTGACTAATCCAATTTTAATCTATTTATATTATTATAATGTTGAACAATTTATTAATTGATTATTATTTTAAAATAATGTATATGTAAAATGAAATGTTGGTCTCTGAATAGCTTAATCAAGAGTTAGAAAAATATTATTTATTGCATAACAGTTAAAATTCTCTTTTTTAGTTTTCGCTATTTTCTATATTTAAATACTAATTAGTTGTTATATTCTAAAATGATTAGGTAATTATTAAATAAATTCAACAATTATCAAATATACTCATTATCAGGGTTTTAAATCAAAATTTTTGAGTGAATAAAAATCTGGGATTATAGTTTGAAAAAAAATAGAAATAGCAATTATAATAGATCAAAGAGTCATATAAACGATAAAGCAATTTTGAGAATGTTAACATTATTTAAAAGTGATATAAATAAATTCTTGATTTTAGTTTAATTATTATTTAATTAATCATATTATAAGAACTGAAAAAGCATATATTATGGAAAGCTCTTCTCAAAAACTGTTAGAGGTGACTTATCAAATTCGCTAAGAAAAGTATTACCAAACTTTGCTTTCAATTTATAATTACTTAAAATTACAAATAAAAATATTTAATTATCGAATTTGATTTCCACTACATAAAATCATTACATCATTAAAATAAAACTCCACTCAAATATATCAAATTAACATTTTGATAGTTAAATATTAATTAATATATGGTGAACACTTTTTTATCTCTCTTTAACTTTTTTATCATATGATAAGATTTAATTTTATTTGAATTATTTTAAGAAGAGGATCAAAGATAAATACATTTTAAAGTTTAATGTCATAAATTTTTCCTTTTGATTTGAATTAATTATTAGTATAAAACAAAATTATTCTTCATATTAATAGATGAATAAGATGAATTAAAAATTTGGGCTTAAAAAATTATGTACTTATAAAACTAAAATAACATTATTTTTCGAATTTCATATAAATTCCTTAAAAATCATAATTTTTGAAGTTAACTGAAATCTATAATCAATTCTTTCCATTTTCTAATCTTTTTCTATGCTCCTTCTTATTCATATGATCCACAACTACAAATCCAAATATTGGAAAATTATTTTTTCTTTAGCATGCAAAATAAAACAGTTTATTCTCCTAGAATATTTTTTGGGTTAATACATGATTCTTATTCTTGATTGTAATTTAGATTAGTTTAAAATATTGTGGATAAATTTAATTCAAAAGTAAATAATCAAAAAATTCTAAATCAAAAGCTGGTACTAAATCAAAAACTAAAAATTTATATATCA